GGGGACGGGATGGGCGGCGGTTGGGGAGGCGCGTCCGAGGTCATGAGCGCATGCAAGTGCGAGAAAAAAAGCCCAATCAAATGCACATATGTGTATATATGTGTGTGTGTGTGTGTGTGTGTGTGTGATTGGATTTCAGCGTGGGAGTGGCAGTGCCGCGAGCAGGTGGGTGAGCATTTTGGCCGCGGCAGAAGGGCGACAGGTGCAACGCTCCAAGGGGCCAGGGCCGGCGGCTTAGATCCCCCCCCCCCCCCGCCGCACCCCCCGCCCCCACCCCCCCCCCCCCTCCCCCCGCCCCCCCCCCCCCCCCCCCCCCCCCCCCCCCCCCCCCCCCCCGCGCCAGCGCCACCCCCCGCCCCCCCCCCCCGGGACAATACCGGCACTGCGTGCAGCGGCAGGACATCGACGGGTGGAGGTGCCTCGCCGGTGGTCGAGGCACCGGTCCCGGGGATCGCCCCCCCCCCCCCTCCGGGCCCGGCCCCGGCCGAAGACGGGCGTGCTGCCAAACGCACAGGAGCCACGGGGCGCAGGCGAGCGGAAGAAGCCATCCCCGCAGGCGCCGCACAGCTGGCCATGGACCAGATGCGGGGCCTCCAGGCGCCCGGGGGCACATGCCCAGGTCGCGGCAAGCCGATCGCACCTGATCGAGGGGTCAGAGTCACAGCCCATGTCATCGGCCAGGTGGTAGGCCTGGTTGTCCTGGAAGAGGACCCAGTATTCGGGCCGCGCCGGGCCGAGGTTCACCGGTGCCATCCGGACCACATCCGGCCAGGTGGCGAAGGTGGCCGGCAGGCGGATGGCCTGCCAGAGAAGCTGGCCGCCGGCCGGGCCGGCATCGCCGCCATGTCCCCCGGTCGAAAGGCGGACCAGGCGCCACATTTGCCGGGTCCCAGACACCAGCAGCAGGAACCTCGTGGGGAGGGTGGCGTCCTGCACCGGGGGCACCAGCCGCGTGGTCAGTGCCTGGCGCTCTTCCGGCAGCTGGCCAGCCTCCAGCAGCTCGGCCCATGTGCCGGTGCCGGGGTCCAGCCCCAGGTAGACATACAGGCGATCGGCCGTGGTGACCACCAGATCCATGGCCTGGAGGTGGGGGGTGAGGAAGCGCGTGGCCGCCAGGGCCACCACCGGCCGGCCGAGGGGGAAGCTGAGTGTCGGGCTGCCGGGGCGGATCCAGGCCCACCCGTCGGCCGTGGCCAGGAAGAAGTTCCCCGGCAGGCCGGTGGCCCCCGGGGCCCGAGGATGGGGGACCTGCGCATCGGTCGCCAGCCAGGCCTGATTGCGCCAGCGCAGGGTGTGGGCCCTGTTCAGGGAGGCGTCGGCCCCCTCGACCAGGACCAGGGCAGTCACCTCGTCCGGGCCATTGGCATGGCCGGCCAGCAGGGCGGCCGGCTGGCCGGCCGGCAGGGCGTGGGTGTGGCTCTGCCCCGCCACGGACAGGCCCACTTGGGAGCCGCTCTGCCAGAGGAACAGCGGGTCGGTGCGGGTCGATGGCAAGCCCAATGGGCCGAAGTCCAGCGCCTGTGGCATCCCGACCAGGGGGCCGCTGAGCGAGGGGTCATTTGTGAAGAAGCTGTCCCTTCGGAAGTCCCAGCCGGTTGGCCGGCTGCTTGGCTGCCGGTAGGAGAGCCAGGTGGACCGGTTGAAAACCCGGTAGCAAACCGCATCATCCCCGGCGAAGAGCCGGCCGAGCATGTCAGTGCAGCCGAAGGGCGTGCCCGAAGCAATCAGCAGCAGCTCCCCGCCGACCTGCTGGTCCACGTCCATGGCCAGGGCGCCGGAGCCGAGCAGCAGCAGCAGGAGCCACAGCATGAGCGAGAGGATGGGCCGTGCGGGTTGTGATGGGGGCGGCTGGCCGGCGGCCCCGCCCTGTTGGTGGTGCATTGGTGGGGAGCCCGCCTCAGGGGGAGAGGCTCCGGGGGGCGCAGGGCCACGAGACCCGAGCGAGCGACGGGCAGCGCGAGGCAGCGAGAGGGAGCGAGAGGGAGCGAGAGGCAGCGAGAGGCAGCGAGAGGCAGCGAGAGGCAGCGAGAGGCAGCGAGAGGCAGCGAGAGGCAGCGAGAGGCAGCGGGGGCGGGCACGGGGCAGCAGTGGCAACTTGCGAAAGAGCCATCCAGCGGGGCGGGCGGCTTTAATGGCATGGCGACCTGGCTGAGACTTGTCAGCGAGGCAGGGCCCCCCCCCCCTCCCCCCCCGGGCCAATCGCCCACCCCGACCGGCCGATCGCCCGCTGCCCCTCGAAGCAGCCTGCCAGCTCGCCTGCCCCGTCGGCCGTGCTCTCCGCGCGGCGCCGGGTGCTCGGCACTGAGCCGAGGCCTGCCGCGGGCGCATGCAGATGGCGGGGCCGGCCCCCACTCGAAGACCCTCCCTGCCCGCCTGGCCGACACAATGCACACCGACACGGACACCAGCACGCCGCGACGAGCAAACCCCGGCAGGGCCCGCAGCCGGGTAGGGCCGTCCCCCGGGCAGGCCAGGCGGAAAACGGCCAACAGACCAGATCGCATCATTCGCGGAGTTCGCCCGGCCGCCCCCTGTGCAGGGGCCCTCCCTGCTGGCAAAATGGGTCCCGGGTCCGGAGTTGTGCCGTGCGCGAAAAAAAAAAAAAAAACAAAAAAATAAACGACCTGCCCGTGTGGGACCGGGGCACACCTTCGCCCGGCCGGCGTGCCCCGCGCTGTGGCCATTGTCCGCGCGCGCGCGTGTGCGCGCGTGCGTGCCAACTTCTGTCCCAGCCGCTGGGAGCGCCAAATGGCGATCGAGTCAGCCGGACGCGCTTGTGGATATCACGTGGGACAGGCACGCGCCAGATCCGCGCCAGAATGGCCCTGCCCGCCGGGCGGCTGGGGACCACCGGCGTGCGGGGGCAATGGTGCATGGCGACGCTCGGGTGTGGCCCGGCGGAGGGATGTCGCCCGGGCCCTCTGGTGGAGGGATGATGGCCAGGTGCCGGGTCAGGGCCGGAAAGCACGGGCGATGACACCGCGCCAGGGGCCCCGGAGGCACAGGGCGCCACATGTTTGATCGATATCCAGCCCATTTCCGAGCAACAGGCGGCCCCCTCTGCCTCGAGGCGCACATGCGGCGGTGTGCGAGATGTCCATCTGCCGGTGTTTGGCCATGCCGCGGCACAGGGCATTTGACGCATGGCATGGCGCCCCGGCCGGTGTACCCCCGCCCCCTGCCAAGGCTCAGCATTTGTGTGCGTGTGTGCGTGTGTGCGTGCGTGCGTGTGTGTGTGTGTGTGTGTGTGTGTGTGTGTGTGTGTGTGTGTGTGTGTGTGTGTGTGTGTATATGCTGAAAAGTGGCAATAGAAAGACACCCCGGGCCTGTGGGACGTCAGGGTGGTCTCATCGCACCGCGGGCCTGCTGCCGACGGCCGGGCCTGGGCCCCACAGGCGGGGCCGGCCACGGGAAGGATTACCGCAGGTCAAGGCCGCCAGCAGCAACGACGAATGTGGCGCATTGCTGGCGGAAGGTCCCGGCACCGGGGCGCAGCAGGGGATCCGCCCGCCAGGCAACCGAGATGAGCCCCCCGGCATTGGCGAAGGGCCCGCTTGCCGGGAGGCCGGCGGTGTCGGGGCGCTGGCCCCCCCTCACCGCGGCCAAGACCTGCTCCAGGCCCATGCCATGCCAGGGGGGCCGCCGGGACAGACACTGATTGAGCATGGTCCCGGCGGCGTAGATGTCAGCCGGCAGGCAGTGCCCCCGGTCCAGGGGGACACACCGTTGGAAGGCATCAATCAGCTCCGGGGCGGCGTACCGCGCGGACATGGCATTCAGCTCCGGGAAGGCGCTGGTCAGGGCCGACGCCCGGGCGGAGTTGAGGTTCCGGCTGGTGCCGAGGTCGCCGAGGGCCACATGCCAGTGGCCGGGGCCCTCCTGTCGGGCAAACACATTGGCCGGCTTCAGGTCCCCATGGGCAATGCCATTGGCATGCATGGCCTCCAGCCCGGTGGCCCACTGCTGGCAGATGGTCGCCAGCTGCAGGTCCGACAGCGGGACCTCCGAGTGCAGCAGCGTGCCCAGATCCGTCTGGTAGCGTTCCATCACGATGGCCGGCGGCTGGTCGCTGTAGCCGAACAGCCGGACGATGTTCGGCGCGTCGCGCAGCAGCCACATCAGCGCCACCTCGTTCTGGAACAGGGCCACCCGGGCCTGGTCCATGGTGCCGGGGTTCAGCTGCTTGATGGCCACGGTGGCCGGGCAGCCCAGGCGCCCCATGATGCCGGCGCCCACCGACTGGGCCGCGTGGACGCTGGCCTGTGCGCCGGAGCCGAGGCTCTCGTCCAGTGGGCGGAAGTCCATGCCGACGTCCACCAGAATGGCCCCCGGCAGGGCCATCTCGAGGATGGTGTTCAGCATGGTGGCATCTTCGGCATCGCCGGCCTCCTTGGCCCGGAGGCCGGCCTGGGCCCGGCGGCGGACAATACACAGCACCAGCAGCATGATGAGGACCAGCAAAAGGAGCAGGCCCAAGGACAGGCCAAGGGCCAGGCCCAAGCGTGAGCCGGCCGGGCCGGGCGTGCGATCGCAGTGCTCCGGGCCGGGGCCGCTGCAGGTGGCGCATTGCTGGTGGCACGCCAGGCAGGAGCCACTTGGCCCATGCTCCGGGTCCCAATTGCCGAAGTACCCGGCCGGGCATTCGGCCAGGCACACGGCCCCGTCGGCCAGGAATTGCCCGACCACACAGCGGGAACACCCGACGATGCTCGGGCAGTCGAGGGTCCCATCCGGCCGGGTGGCGCAGCCCGGCTGCCCGGGGCCGGCGGTGCAACGGTCGCACCCCGGCAAGCAGGCGAGGCACACCCCGGCCGCCGGGGCAAAGCCGGACGCCTCGCAGGCGCTGACACACCGGCCGGACTCGTACTCGAGCAGGCCCGAATGGCATGACGTGCAGAAGGTCCCCTGGCCGACGCACGTCTTGCAGGGGCCTTGGCACGGGGCGCAGGCGGGCGAATCGCCCGGCGCAAATTGCCCGGCCGGACAGCGCGTCACACATTCACCACCGGACCAATGGCGACCCTCTTCGCAGGCGGTGCAGGCGGCCGTGCAGGTGGCGCCGACCGGCTCGCACTCGACACAGCCACCCGGGCAGCGGGTGCACATGGCCGAGGCATGGCACGCAAACCAGCCGACCGGGCAGGCGCCCCTGCAGGCCCCATCCGGCTGGAGGAGGTCCCCCGGCCGGCAGGTGAGGCAGGCGGCGGCCTGCTCGCACGTTTGGCAGGTGGGATGGCACGCGACGCACACCCGGGCTTCGGAGGCAAACCACCCGGCCGGGCACTGGGCCGCACAGCGGCCGGTGGCCTGCACCAGGGCCCGGCCCGCCGGGCAGGCCGTGCACTGATCGAGCCCCGGGCCGTCGGCACACTCGGCGCAGGTCCCATGGCAGGGGAGGCAGGCCGAGCCGCTGCGGAAGGTCCCTGGCGGGCAGGCGGCATAGCACCGGCCGGCCACCAGCAACGGGGCCCCCGGCTCGCATGCGAGGCAGTGCTCCGGGCCCGGGCCATAGCAGGAGGAGCAGCTCGCGTGGCAGGTGGAGCACAAGCCCCCCATGGGTAGGGAGTTGGCCGGGCACGAGTCCACGCACGCCGGGCTGTCCAGGAGCCAGCCGCGCTCGCACAGGGCGCACACCGACTCATCCGTCGGGCAGCTGGCACAGTGGTCCGTGCACTTGGAGCAGCCGGAGGGGGTGGTCCGGTGGCCAGCCGGGCAGGCGGGGACACAGCGCACGGGCGACTGCCCGGCTGGCAGGGCCAGCAGGTCATCCGGGCAGGCTGGCAGGCACTCGGTGGACCGGACCCCGGCGCACTGGTCGCAGGAGACATGGCACCGAAGGCACCGGCCGCCGGCGGCCACATGCCCGGGCGAGCACTCCTGCACGCACTGGCCATCCTGCAGCACGGTCCCATGGCACCGCCAGCAATCCGTGTCCGAGGGGCCGTTGCATGCGGCGCACGCGGCATCGCAGGCGACACACGTGCCGGAGCCCTCCTCCCGGTACTGCCCCTCGGGGCAGGTGGAGGTGCAGGCCCCGACGCCGGAGCCGGCGTCCACAAAGTCCAGCCCCCCGGCACAGGTGGTGCACTGGTCCGGCGAGCCCCCGGTGCAGGTGCCACAGGTGACATCACATGGCTGGCGGGATTCATCGGTGCCATAGGCGCCGGCCGGGCAGGCCGCCAGGCAGCCGTTGTCCTGGCCCAGCAGGAGCCCCGCCTCGCAGGACAGGCACCTGGTGGCCGTGCAGGAGGCGCACCCGGCCGGGCAGGGCACGCACAGCCCGGTGCCATGGGGGCCCGGGGCCGCCGGGGCGGCCCAGCGGAAGCCCGGCGCGCACACCTGGCAGGCGGTGCCGGACCCGGCGCACAAGTGGCAGGAGGGGTGGCACGTGGCGCATCGGCCGGGCCCGACATACTCGCCAGGGGGGCAGATGCTCCCGCACAGGGACGCCTGCTGCGGGTCCACCGACAGGAAGACCAGGCCGGCTCGACAGTCGGTGCAACTGCCGGCCTGGGCACATCCGGCGCACGACCCATCGCACGCATGGCATCGCAGGTCGGCGCCGAGGAAGTGCTGAGCCGGACAGGTGGCGCATGTGCTGCCGGTGTGGCAGGTGGCGCAGTCGCCCAGGCAGGGCCTGCAGGCTTGGGCCGGCACGTCGGGCCAGTGATCCTCCGGGCAGGCCTCCACGCAGCGATGGAGCAATGCCCACCGACCGGGCGGGCAGACGGTGCATGCCTCGGCATCGGCCGGGACCGAGCACACGGAGCACGAGTCGTCACAGGCCTGGCATTGGCCCGGGCTGTGGCCTTGGTCCAGGGGGACCGGCGCATGGTCGGTCGCTTGGCATACTTGGCACTCGTAGGCGGCCCCCGGGGTGGGCAGGGCCGGGGCGCAGCTCCGACACGTTTCGTGACAGTGGCAGACGCCAAAGGCATCGAGATAGAGGCCCGTCGGGCAGGCTTCCAGACAGGTGCCCGGGCTGCCTGGCATCGAGGCCTGGCAGCGGGTGCACTGGTCGGCCCGCGGCCCGGAGCACACAAGGCAGGATTCATGGCAGGAGGTGCAGCCCTTGCCGAAGGTGCCGGCCGGGCAGTCGACCACGATGTCCAGGTGCACCGGCAGCGGATTGCCCACATCGGACATGGCCAGCAGCGAGACCAGGTGCCCGGGGCCGGGGGTGAGAATGGCCCTCGAACATTGGACCACGCCCTGGCGGCCGATGTCCGGAATCGGCGCGGCGAAGGTGGTGAAGGAGGCCGGCAGCAGGACGCACGGGCCGCTGGACACCGGGCACCAAAAGAGCGAGACACCGACAAGGCGCTCGGTCAGAAGCACCAGCGCCGAGGGGTACTCCGCGTTGGCGGTCAGGCTGACGGATAGAAAGTGCAGTGGCGACCCGGGGCCGGGCGCGCCGCCCGGCACCAGCCCCAGCGGCTGGCGAAGCCCCGGCAGCTGGACCGTCCGCCCGCTGGGGATGACATCCCCCGGCGGCAGGACAGCCTCCCAGGCCCCGGCCGTGGTCAAGTGCGTGATGGCCAATTGCCAGGCCGGGCGACCGGGGCTGATGGCGCCGGAGGTGAGCAAGAGCACCGGCGCCGAGGCGACCACCGGGCCCGGGCCCGGGCCGGCCAACAAACCACCGACAAGGGCCTGGGACCGGGGGTCCAGATCGACGAGGCCCTCGGGAACCCCGGTCGCCAGGCCCGTCGGCTGGGTGAGCACATACCAGTCATCGATCCTGGGGTTGCCGGTGACCGGGGCCGACCGGGGCGGATCCATTGCCGGCAGGTGGACCATGCTCTCAATGGAGGGATGCAGCATCTGCCAGTGCCAATTCCCGTTGAAGATCAGCAGCATTCGGGCCGGCTCGTGGGTGTGCACGAGGATCTGATGCTGGCCGATGCGCCGCAGGGTGGTGCAGCCGCCGAAAAAGGGAATAAGGAACACAGGGCCGTCGGTCGAACAAATGCCCTGGTAGGGGGCCGGCCCGGAGGTGTCCAACGGGCAGGTCAATGTCCCAGTCAGGACTTGGCCATCCTCCAGGCAGAGGGCAAAGCCCAGGCTGGCCATGTCGCCCTTCACATGGGGCCCAACTTCCGCATAGGCCTTGGCCGGGGGCAGGACCAAGCCGGCCGACAGCGGCCTGGCCACCGGCGGGCTACGCGCGTGCATGGTGCCAATGGCCGAGCTCGGCATGATGGCCACCGACCCATCGGACACCAACAGCAGGACGCCACTTCGAGGGGACTGCGGGTTGGCTATCACCGAGCCCGGGATCAAGTAGGTCGACCCATCGCCCGGGGCCAAATGCGTGTCAGCCACCGTGGTCACCGCCAGCCCCGGGGCGAGGTTCATATCGGAGAAGGAGTCCTCCAGGAGGGCGTGCGAGGTGGCAGGCGTGTTGAGGTGCGGGAGGCACACGCCGGCGAGCTCCGAAAAGCCCTCGGCGCACGCCGCGGTGCAGGTGGACATGGCCCCCGGCGAGCCGGGAGTCAGCAGCAGGGGCTCCTGGCAGACCAGCGGCTCGGAGGGGTTGCAGGCCAGGGCCCCGAGCGGGCAGGGGTCGCAAGCATTGACTGCCAGGCCGGGCGGGCAAAAGGAAAAAAAGACGAGGGGGAGGCGAATGAGAAGGGCCGGAAGGGCATGCCAGTCAGCGGAAGGGCACGCGCAGAAGGAAGGGCTGAAAGGAGAGGGAGGGCGACGAAGGAGGGCGGGGGGGG